GTGTCGTTTGGAGAAGACCCATGCGGTGTGTCCCCGTGGGCACCCAGAGATAGCCCACAGCCGGCATGGGACTGTGTGGAGGTGTCCTGCGTGGAGGGCAGGGGGCAGTGGGGATGGCCCTGATGTGCTCAGAAGGACCCCCGCGGTGGGGTTGGACAGGGACACATAGGGACCGAGGCATGTAGTGAGACCACTCTTGTGGTGCCTCTACTTGCTGGCTTTGGGACCCGGGGGTGCCTGAGGTGGTAGAACTTGGGAACGTGGAGAAGCCCTCCACTTGGGCTAGGGACAAACAGAATAGGGAGACAGACTGGGGGGGCTGTATGGTGAGACCCTCTGGCCGAGCTGGGACAGGGCACATGGTGGCACCCCACAGCAGGGATGAACAGGGGACCACCCGCAGTTTAAAGTAAAGCAAGGGCGCATAGGAGGAGACCTGTAATGGGGCAGGGATGCCAAGAGAACAGACCTTTGCACATAGGGAAGGGCAGAAAAATGGGGGACAGAAGGGAAAAGTTGGGCAGGCAGAGGGGTGCAGTGGGGCTCCCATCTCCTAAGGGTAGGCATCAGGGAGCGCCCTTGAAAATGGGGTGCTGGGTAGGATAGCACAGAGCTGAAGGCGTAGGGAGGGTGGGAACCTACAAGCCCACTGACACCCCCTCTACTCTGCAGGCGAGAAGCCCTACCACTGCACCTGGGAAGGATGTGGCTGGAAATTTGCCCGCTCCGATGAGCTGACCCGCCACTACCGCAAGCACACAGGGCACCGGCCGTTCCAGTGCCACCTCTGCGAGCGGGCTTTCTCCCGCTCAGACCACCTTGCTCTCCACATGAAGCGGCACATGTGAGCAGTGGCTGCAGCCGGACTCGATGTCCCTGGAGCCAGCTCACGGTGTAAATAGTGTTGGGCCAGGGATGGCAATGGGGGGTTGCAGCTTTGGCCACCCAGCCCTCTCTGCTTATAGTTGATAAGTAGTTCTCTCCTCCTACCCCTGTGAGAGCTGGCCCAGCCAAGTGGTGGGAAAGGGCTGCTTTGGGGATGTATGTGGGGAGAAAAACTGCAAGAAACACCTGCCCAGGCATCACCACTCAGCCCCCCATGACCTGGAGGGTTCCCCCCAGCCAGGTACCTGGTGAGCAGGGGGCTGGTGCATAAGGGATCTGTCCCCAGAACTCCTGGCTTGTATTTGGCATCAACTTAACCTTCTTTCCCCAGATTCTGGCACCCCTCTGGCTCTAGGGGCTGTGCTGGCTGACTGGCTGTTTTTTGGCTAGATAGCCATGCCAGTTGGGCACATTGGTTGTGGTGCTGGGAAATGGGTTGCTGGTTGTCTCAGTTGTGATCATCAGAACAAATCTCCTGACCCAAAGCCCGGAGTGGATGGGTGAGGGTGGGATTTCACTGGCTCATGCTATAAAAGTTTGCAGGTGTTGGCAGCACAGCATCGCCTTGCACAGAGGGCAGGGATGCTCCTGTCACCAGCCTGGGACTCCACTGGTCAGTCCAGCCCTGACCATTCCCAGTTTTCCACTCAAGAGCCTAAAATGTCTCTCCTGGCTCTTGTCTGCTTTATTTTGTCTTGTTCTTCCCCTCAGGATGACACCAGGTACTGCTGCAGCTGCCTTCCCCATGCTGCTTTTTAAAATTTAGTATGTAAAGGACAGTGAGTCCAGCTATGAATACCCAGGTCTCTGCTATACTTGAAACTTTTGTAGGAGGGGGGGACAAAAAGAAAGCTCAAAGGAAAATGAGTCTTTTTATGTGCAGCTTCTGCAAAGCAAGTTGTAAATTAAACAAAGCAGTAATATATAATGTTTCTGTTTTTTTAATATATTTTTTTCTTCCAGCTGGGAACACAGATGAGTCTCAGCTTTGGGAAGTGCACTGTTCCCATCTGTGTATATTGTTAATTAACATTTCTCTGCTTGGGCACGTTAGGTCTCTTGCACTCTGAAATGTTACTTTTCTTTATATGCAAACTGTTGAAATATTGTGATCTGCTGTATAATAAATAAACAAGATGTAAACATGAAAGAGCCAGGAGAGTTTACTTTAAAGGTTTCTTCTAAGAGGAGAGGGTGAGGCTGAGCTTGTTTGTCAGTAAATATTTACATCGATGTTCATTTCTGCTTAAGTTAGCTGCGGAGGATCGATGGGGAACGCCCAAGCCTCGGCATCTGAGTAGCATCTCCTGTGCAACAGCTCTTGAGTCACCCCACTTCCCTGTGCCTCAGTTTCCCTAATCTGCAGATGGGGCAATTGCAGCACTGGGATGGTGTGACTGGTCCTGCGGTGAGTCATCTCCAAAGGGAATGGCAGCCGAAACTCAACTGAGAGTCTTGCTGGTCCTGAATTCTTCCTGAGTAGTCCTGTCCCGCTGTGCCTCACAGTGGGAGCTCCACAGTACCAGCCTTGTGGTCACAACCAGGAGGGAGATTGCTGTCAGCTGCCTGGTCCAGGGTGCTGTCTCTGCTGTCCTCTGGGGATGGCCTGGCAGCTTGGTGGGGTTCAGGTGCTGAGGTTTCCCTGCGTTAATAGGTGGTGACTCAGCACAAGCATGCTGGCAGGTCCCAAGCTCAGCAAGCAGGTCTGGCTCCATCCCTCCCTCCCTCCCACAGCTGATTACCTGTGATGCACGAATCCCTCTGAAGGCAGGAACTTGTCCAGACCTGACACCATGCTGGCAGTGCAGGGAGCACACAGGCTGTATGATGCTGTGGCCCAGGGTGGTGGTAGCAGCAGCTCCCTCCTCCTCTGCTCACCACTGCAACCCCCAGCGGCTGGCCAGGGCTGGGGGTGCCCTAGGGCTGCTTGCCCTGCAAGTGGAAGTGGGATGTAGCTGGGCTGATCCTACTCCTTCCTGCTCAGATAGGAATGGCAAAACAGGTCTGATGATCCCCTGAGGAGTGGCTAATATTTTGGTGTTTGGCTCTTTGATCTGGGACCAGCACCCAGCCTTGTGGTCTGTCCTTGAGTAGGTACAAAAGCATGGGTGATTCCAGGCAGGGTGGCAGCAGTTTGGGACATTGTGTTCTGCCTGTAGGCCTGAGGTCAGGACCATGGGGCTGCATCCACAGGTGTCAGATCCATCAGGCTCAATCACTTGTCCTTTCCACTGCTGCCTCCACCCTCTGCTTGCCCTGCCCCACTTTCTGAGAGGTGCCTGTGCAAGGGTGACTGCTGGGACACATGTGGCCTGTGATGAGGGACTGGGGATGTCTTGTTCCTGGGACCACCAGAACCCAAGGACAGGGCTACACTGCCAGGGGATAGCTGGGGCAAAACTTCTGCCTCTTCCGTGGAGACTTGTTCAAAATGTCACATGGAGGGAGAGGGAAAGGTGTGGGCTGTTTGAATTAGCGATGAGTCAGGCTGGCAAAGCCAGATGGGGAGAGTGCGTGCCTGCGTGTTTGTGTGCGTATAAGTAATCTCTGGCTTTGTGTTTTTATTATGATTATTATTTTTATTTCCAGGGGAACGATGAATTTCTCCAACCATCCTGTCCCACTGGAAAGGCTTGCTCTGCTGTCCTGTCCTCCCTAAGCATCCTGGGAGCCGGAGTGACAGTTCACAGCTGTTTTGAGGTTCAGCTCTGAGATCAGAGCACAAACCAGTTCTTTCTCGCTTTTCATCATTGCTGTGCCAGGGCAGGAGTGAAGTCCGGCTCTGCTGCCACTACCTTACACGGAGAGGTGAGAGCAGGGGAGGCTGCTTTGGCTCCTCCAAACAGAGCTGCTCCAGGTTTGATCCCCTGTGCCTGGGGCAAGACACTCCTTCAGGCACACAATGGGGCATGACAGTCAAATGGACCAGCATGGCTGGGAATCACCTCATGGCTGGGGAGGAGTGGCTGTAGTGGAAAAGACAATTACAGTTAATTTGTTGTTAATAAAAAACACCCTCTTCCAATTGCCTGGGCTAAGACACACTCTCCTTTGGACAAGGGAGGTCAGTCCTGTCCCCAGCAAAACCTGCCCTGCAAAGTGATGAGGGCAGCAAGAAAACACCTTTGGCAGCACTTAGGGAGGCACAGCTGGGGTGCAATCCCTGTGGTATGGGTACCTGCAGTCAGCTGGAGAACCTGAGCTAAGTCATGTCTCCCTTCCTTTTCCACCATGGTTACTTCCTGTCAAAAAGGACCCTTGGAACTGTGCAGAGGCCCCTGAACCCTCTGTAACTCTTAAACCCCATGGTTTTGGGGTACAGCTGACCTGGTCCAATGAAGAGGCTAGTGGGTAAAGGAAGGAACAAGGTATGGAGAAACACGTCCCAGCAGAAATGTGAGTCATGGCCACAGTATGGCCTGGCACCAGTCACTTGCCAGTTGGAGCGGGGCCCTGGGGTCCTCAAAGCTGGAGAGGGGTGAAAGAGAGGTTTGAATGGGTTTCTGCTGTCTGGGGATGACCCAGCTCATGGGGATCCCCCATACTACAGCCAGTAGGTCCCACAGCTGGTCTGGGATTCTTGATCCATAAGGAAAAGGAGTGTTGCAGATCTGAGGGTTCCTTTGCCAGGGCTTGACTTTGGGGATGCTGTGGTCCATGGGGACAGCATGGAGCTCAGGGGGGGACAAGAGTGCTGTAGGTAGGATGCAGCCTGGGTGCTCAAGGGTGGGGGGAGAGTTTGGGAGTGCTTGGACAGGCTGACACAGACCGTTCCTCACCATGAGGTCAGAACTCGGCTCCCCAGGACCAAGGTGTCCCTGCTGAAGTATGCTCTCAGGGCTTGCGTCTCCCATTGGAAGAGCAGCGGGAAGTGCCGCATCCCTGCCAGGGTGGGGGAAAGGTCCAGCAACTGGTCCCTGTGTCCATGCTGCTTGGGGTGGGCCAGGTACCACGATAATGGGGCTGTGGCTGTCACCGCACCCTTAGGAAACATTTGGCTTCAGGCACCTGAACCCATGGGGAAGCGATAACTCCCAGCTCACTTGCCCTGCCTGGACCCACACCTGGCACTGTTGTGCCTTAGTCACACACCGAGAGTTTTTCCACTGCTGGGCCCCAGATAACCTTCTCCTGCCCCACTGGCCACAGTGTTTGCACTTGTCCTCCCCCGCTGGTGCCAGGCTGGGAGACACACACACCCTGAGCCCTGGTCCGAATGCACGCACACCTCTGGCCTGGGGCCACCTTTGGTCATGCTTGGCAGCCAGGGGATGGGTAAAGGGCATGAAGTGCATCCTTCCCCAGCATCCTGAGGTGGGTGAGGAGTTGGCCTGGAGGGGGCCTTCCTGCCAGGTCTAAATCTGGAGGGCACATCTTTCCCGCAGCTGCTTGGTGGCAGATCGCCCAGGCTTTGGTAATTTGGACATCCCTGGTGTATCCAGGACAGCTGGAGGTGGGTGAAGGTGTTGCAGTGACAGAACAGTGATGCCAGAGTTCCAGGGCACAGAAGCACTGGATTCCTCATCACTGCTGACTTTCCCTGACTCCCTGAATTCCCTCGGTTCTCCCTGTGCGCTGGCGAGTCAGGACCACCCTGGTGGTCAGATCTGGGCAGTCTCAGTGCAGGACTCTCAGTGAGGGACCAGGTACGTGACTCACGTTTCCAGCCTTTCCCTTTTGCTCTGCAAGCTTTGGGATGCAGTGACCAGAAACAATAAGTCCAAGCTCCCTTGAAGTAGTGCTAATTGCTCTGCTGATGAGCCCATCAGCAAAAGCACCCAGCTAATGTGTTTCACCTGCGGGTCCATAAAGCTCCTGGTGGGACACAGCTCCCGAGGCTCACAGGGCTGTGGGAGAGGCAGGATGTGAAACTGCGAAACAGCACTCTCCAGTTGCCCATGATCTCCATCATTAACGAGATCAAAAAGCCTCTGTCCTGGGGAGATGAGCTCAAAACGTGCTGCAGGCTGTTGAAGAGGAAATGGACACCCCGCGCTGGGGCAGAGATTGAGTCCTGTTGGGAGAGGGTTTGAGCAAGTCAGGCAGGCAAGTGGGAGATATAATCAAAAAACGCACTGAATGGCCCATCTGTCCCCGGGTTTTATTTTTGGAACGGGTTTTTGTTTTCTTTAAGTGCTGCTTAACAGGATGAATGGACTGCAAACAACCCGCCGTGAGCGGCAAAAAGAGGGGCCCCCTTTTTTGGTATTTCAAAGCTCTCCATGGAACCATAGTGCCAGGCTTGCCAGGCAGGCAGAGACTGCAAAAGTTGGGAAAGCCTTGTCTCCCTCTGCAAGCCTACCTTGGGGGAGTGTGGACCCCACTTCCAGGCCAGTTGTGGCAAGAGAACAAGGAAGTGTGCTAGAAATTATTAGCAATGTCCACACACACTGATGGGAGAGGACTTGGGTGGATGAGGCAGCGCTGAAAGCAAATAGGCAGGACAGGCAAAACCTTAGGATCAGCTCTCTCTTTCTGGAAGGGCTAAGATGCTAAAAGCCATCCCTGGTGATGTGGAAAGGGGTAGAAAAGGGATTAAATGATTTCTGGGGGCAACAGATAGTACTCTGGGGGTGTCACCAGTTCCCATTGTGGCACACTGCCATCGGTTAGGCCATGACACAAAGGTGATGTGCTGGTCCTCGTGAGAAGGGTTCACCAGCAGGATGGGGATGGTGGTAACTTCAGCATAGCCTGGCTGGCGCTGAGGGATTCCATGCAAGAGCAACTGGGGTTCAGCTCATCCCAGGGCTGCACAAGGAGAAGAGATTCCCCTCAGAGGCACCCCCTCCTCTGGGCTATCCCAGGTGGCCACAGGTCCCAGTGTATCTCTGTGCCCTGTGCAGAAACCATCTCCTTCAGGCAAACCTTTGCCAGGCAGCCTTGCCTTGCCTCGATCTGCCAGGGAAGGGGATTTCTCCGAGTCCCTCCTGGCCCCACACCACTGTTTCACCCCTTTCCTTGTTCCCCCATCTCTTCCCACGGGGAAGAAGAAACAGGACAGTCTTATTAATAAAACTTTCACTCCTGGCTGCCCCATGTGAGTGCTCTGGAGCACAGAGCAGGAGGGCGAGGAGCACACGCTGTGGCACACGAAGCCAGGCCGAGCGGCCCGGGTGTGCCACGCGGTGTGGCTGGCACCGGGCCGGCCCCTGGCACGGCTGCTGGGGAGAACGGGACAGGGCACAGGTGCCAGCGAGCACCTCGGGAAAGGAGCCGGGAAAATGAGTTCTGCGGGAAACTAGGGTCAGTCCCAGGGAGAACAGCGACCCATGCCACAGTCCCCGAGGGAACGGGGTCGCGGCAATGGGGGGGCCACGGTGAGCGCGACGAGCGGGCTGGCGGCGCCCTCTCCCCGGGCCGGGCTCGGAGGCGCCGGTCG